AATTCCATCCCCCCTGCCATGGGCAGGAATGTCTCACACCAGACCATGTCACCCAAGGCGCTGTCCAACCTGGCCTTGAACACTACCAGGGATGTGGCATCTACCATGCCTTTGGGCAACTTGTTCCAGGGCCTCACCACCTTCACAGTAAAGAACTTCTTCCTTATATCTAACCTGAACTTCCCCTGTTTAAGTTTAAACCCATTACTCCTTGTCCCATCAATACTTTTTCCATTCTGTCATAATTTACAGAGCTACTGGAAACAAAAAATAAAAAAAAAAGTTGACCCAAGATTACCCAAGAGTCAACATACTATAGCTGAAGTATTACACAATGCCAGTAGTAAAGACAGTTAACTACTAAGGGAAAGTATGAAAGTTTTAAGATAAAGTGAGAATGTGTTAGATATAAACTCAGCTCATTATAGTGAGCCAGAATGACTCAAAATTTCAGAAACGTTTTAGTCAAAGGCTACACTTCGAACTCCTAAATTTTTTATTATCTTTGGAATAGGACCAGTTTAGGATTTTCTGCATCCATTTAACACACAAGGCAACTGTTTGCTTAGCAAAACATCACAGCCCTAGGTTTACAAGCAGTGCACACCACATTTACTCTGAAAAACTCCTTTAAAGTAAACTTTGATTTCTTATCTGGAAATTATTATTCAGATAATTTTTATTTATATGCATACCCTGGAAATTTTTATTTATATGCATATTAAGTTCTGGAATACACAAGACAGTTTTACTACTTTGTTACAATATTAACAAAATTATGAACACATTAACATAATTTGTATATGGGGGGAAAACCTAACAGAACTTAGAAATAAGAACTATCGTGACATTCAAAGTTTACAAAGCAAAATTTTGGAGCTATCAGACCTCAATCTGGTAATTTACAAATGAAGATGACCTGGATAAGATAGCAGTAATGTAAAAGACTGTCTCTCTTAGTAGTACATTTAGAGTGCCTAGGCTTCAAAGTTTGAGACTTGAAATTTTCAAGCATAGACAATTTAGTACATAGCAATCTCAATGCCAAACAAGACAACAACAAAACCCAGCCAAACAAGCTTATCTTCTACACAATATATCAAAAGAGAGCAAATTTACTCTCCCAGAAATCAGAGGTAGAAAAAGAACCTATATCAGGCCACATGGCCCAAGCTGCGATGAGTTTTAGTCCCACTGCTATCCCTTTTCTACACATAAGATAAGCTACATCATTTACATTAGCAGAATAAGACTCTGTGATCATGGCCTGTTACACTGCTCTAGGGACATATCAGACTATTTTGAGCATTGAAAGAGGTTCTTTAATGCTGTTTCTACATTGCTTGTCTACTGAAATCTTTAATAAATGTACTGGGGGTTTCACCCCATACGGGCACCAGCTTCTTTGACTTGTAATGTTAAGTTTGCAAGACTAAAATGCCTCCACCAATCAAAACATCACCTATTTACTGTAAAAGTCAGTTTTGATCAGCATACACTATTGATGCCATTTGACACAAATGTACCATGAAGAGTTATTATTGCGGTAACTAAACTGTCATACCAGGGTTCCTATTGTAGAAGGCTATGAGAGATCATGGGGCTTTGTAGGCTGTACTAACTGTAGTTACACATACTCTCTCAGTTATTGAAAAGCAATTATTTATGCAGTCTGACTGGGAAAAAAAAAAAAACAACAGATATAGCTGTTTCAGGATGCTAAAGTTTCCAAACAAAAACCTCAACAGTGTCATTTTCTTTCCTGTGAGGGAGGGAGTACATCCAACTATTTTGGCATTTAGAACATTAACACATGATGAAAGTGTACCACAACATTACTTCAGTAAAGCTGGTAAGTTATCAAACAAAATTGTACATTGCCATAGATATTAACCTAACAGTTTCAACTTGTGACTAAAGCCTAGTAAATTTTATGCTTGTATTCTCCACATTATGCATTAATCTCATGGATACGTTTGATTTATGCTTTCGAGACCTTTGCTGTTAAGAGCAAAAATGCAGCCACTGTACTCAACATGCATGCAAAGATTCTGAATCCACAGTGAAACAGTTTCACACAGAGAACTACTATTTATCTGTATGGCAGTTACTTACTAGTGTATCTCATACTGAACTCAACAGTTGTGCAAAGAAAAGCAGACCTTCAATCTTTGTTAGGAAAGCATTTGACTGAAATTTGGCATAGCACTTTAAAGTTTGTCAAGACAAAAGTAGTAGTTTCACTGAGCTTGAACTCAGCTTTAAACTTAAAAACAAAAACAATACACACCCCCCCCCCCAATTAAATATTTGAGGGTTTAAGAGAATTCTGTATTGGCCTACTTGCACTCGTATCAGTGATAACTTAGACATGAAAAGTTCTTTCACATACTAAATTATAAAACCCAGGAGATTATCCTACTACTGGGACGACTGCTAAAGCTCACCTTCCAGACGTCTAAAAATGAAACTTTAGAGTCCCACAGAGAATAAACTCAAAAAAACAAATAGCTTTCAGCGCTCAAGCAAAGCGTTTTACTCACTAAACAGCTGAATATTTCAACAGTTTGACAAGTAAATAGGAAATACGCATCTACACAGCATTCTTTTCTTCCACAGAAAGCAGAGGTGGTAAAAAAATACGGGCAATATTTCCCATTCAACTGCTTATGAACAACTTGCATGCAAGTGTTTAAAGCTCAAGAAAACCTGACTCTAGAAGGCAGCATTTTTTAAGTTATTAATGCGTTTCCCCTTCCCCCACCCCCCCCCCCCCGAAAAAAAAAAAAAAGCAAGTTTACAACGGTGGGAAGATTAGCAGTAAGACACACCGCCGCTCACTGACACCAGGAGGTTGAAAAGCGCACCTTTCAAACAAAGCTTTGTTTTCTTTCAACTACCGTGAAGAGAGAGAAAGCAAGCAAACACGGGAACCGGCAGATGCGCCCAGCCGGGATCTCCCGGAGAGCCGGAGCCGAAGGCGGACACTGCCTCTCACCTTTTGGAGGAAAGCGGCGAGGAACGCAACAAGGGACACGAAGTTAAAGTGCAGACAAAGGAAGAAAGTCACCCCAACATACTTTCTCACCGCGAATCGCCCCTGCCGGTTTAACAAGGAATTAAGCTTGCAACGGCACGTCAACCGCATCCGAAACACCTTGCCTCCGGAGGGGAAAAATCACCGCCACCCCTCTTCCTCGACGCAGCTCAGGAGCAACCTGCCGGCTCTCGGGAGAGCGTAGCCAACACTCCAGCCCCGCCGGCTGCCGCCAGCCACAAGCGGAGGAAAGGGGGGGGCAGCCGGGCGCCTGGGCCCGCGACGCCCGGCAGCCACCAGGGCCCGGCACCCTGGGCAGGCGGGGGCAAGGGGGGCGGGCGCCGCTCCGCAGCCCCTTCCGCCGGCCCCCGCAGCACGAGGAGCATGCACGGCCAGCGCCTCCGGGAGGCCTTGCCTCAGAGACGAAACTTTCCAAGGGGGCTCAAACCACCTCCTCCCCTCGCCAACAAAACTTCCCAACAACTCGCCCAGCTGTCCTGTCCCGTCCCCTCCTGCTGTGACTGCATCTCGCCGCACCTTTCTGCTTCTCACTACCTGCGGGATGGGGGCACGGGACGGGGCCAGCCCCGCACGGTACCCGCCGCGCCGCTCCCCCTTTCTTCCAGGGCCGCCAGCGTGCCTCGCCGCTGCCTCTCCGCCCCCTCGGGCCGCGGCGCCCTCCCAACCCCCCCCCACTGTATTCCTCCGCGGCGCTGTACTGCCGCTCCTCCGGAACTCGTTCCGCAGCACTCCGCGGGCGAGGGCACTCCCGCACACACCCCACACCCCCCCCCCCCGCCTCTCCACACATTCTCGGCCCGGCAGAAAGAGTACGGAGTGTGGAGAGGGGGTAACAGGGAGAGAGCGAACCACAGAGCAAACTGCTCTTCCAAGTGGCCTGGTGCCCACGGGGAACGCCAGCAGGGCCAGGGAGGACCCCTCATCTCCGCCGCGCTTGCCCCGCTGCAGCCCGGCCGGGACGGCAGGGAAAGGGGTTCCGGTCCAGGGACACGGCGGCTTCGCGTGTGGCAAAGTTCTCCCTCGGAGAAACTACTCAGAAACTTTAAGAAAGCTACTGCCAGGGAACATCTTACGGGAATGGCGAAGGAGACCGTCAGAGCCCGCGGGAGCAGCCGGTCTTTGATTGTGGGGCTTTGGTATCCGAGGACTGGCAGGTATCCAGAACGAGCCCAGCCGCAGCCACTAGCGCCGATGGCAGCGAGGACCGCCCTTCGGCGGCCGCAGCGCCTCGGCAGCCGTTCCCCCCGTGCGGCGGGCTTGGCCTCGCCTCTCAGCTGCTGGCCCCGGGCTGGGTGAGACGCCGCTTCGCGGCCGTGCGGAGGGTGGTCTCTCAGTAGCGGCCAAAATTGACTGACGGCTACCGCGACTCCCAGCCGCCGACTTAAGGAGCAGCGCCGTGTCCCGGCGCCGAGAAAAGCGGCGGCGAGGGGAGTGTGCGGGGGACTTGGGGCAGCCGGGGGATCGCGGCAGCCCACCCGCGTCCCGGGGAGGTGGTACAGGCTGCCTCGGGAGTGGAAGTAATGCTGAAGGATGCCTGTCAGCCCACCAGCCTTACGTTAAAAGACTAATACTCCGAAACAGTTCTCGGAGGATTCCCCGCTCATTAATAAAGTGATCACGCTTAATAACGATTAGACGTTTGCCTGGGGAATCCCGACTTAGCGGGCTCATGGTGAAGCCGGGCTGCGGGCGGGAGAAGCCAGCGGGGGTGCATTTACCCTGCATTAGCCCCGCCACGTCTTTTATTAGCCACATAAATAAAGCCAGCTGCATAGGGGGCCCTCCTATAGCCAAAGCCTCGCACGCCCGGGGCTGCAGATCAGAAGCAGCCGACCCCTTCAGAAAGCGCCGGCTTCCAGGCGCAACAGCTCTTGGCCAGGAGACTCTGGGGGCCGCCCAGGCAGTTCCCCTCCGCCCCTGCTTCCCCCCACCCGAGTCCGGACACCGGCCTCCCCGCGGCAGCGACAGGGCCGCAGTTCCGCAGCTGCCGGGCAGGGGGCGCCGCGCCACAACGTACGGGCAGCCGGGCACAGCGACGGCAACCAGCCCGGGCTCGGCAGAGCGAAGAGGAGCCGGCAGCCCGCGGCGCCGAGCCCGGCTCCGGCTGCAGGCGGCTGGATCCGGCAACCCGCGTGCCGCTCTCTCGATGAAGGTGGTGGTGGAGCGGGCGGTGCCCTCAGCCCCAGGTATGCACAGCTTTGGATAAAGTCGGTATGCCTATATATATTTATGTATATATATATATAAGCCTGCAGAATCATACATACACTACACAGTTATAAACTAGGGGTTGAAGCGAAGACCTCAGTATTTTCAATAGCTCAACAAACCAGAGCACCAAAACTCTCACTGGAATCATCTAAGCACCCTGATGATAATAAACTCATTATACAAAGAACTCACCAGACCAGCTGGACTCGGCGCTCTTCTCCCAAAGTCCGCTCCAGCTCTGTTCATCTCTGCACGCTTTCTACCACCCCTTTCTTTTTTGTCCGCTTGAGAAAAAGCGAGCAATGCTCAGGTGCCCACACACCTCTAGAGTCCGAACCCCGCAGCTCTGGCGCTCAGCGCGGCGCCCGGCCCCATCTCCACAGCGCGGCATGTTGGCTCAGACCCATCCGCTGCTCGAAACTTGAACGAGGGTGGGAAGGAAAAATAGGGAGGGGAAAAAAGGGGGGGGGGGGGGGGGGGGGGGGAGAGAGAAAAGAGAAAGGGCGAAAGAGGGGAAAAAAAAAAAGAAAAAAAAAAAGAAAAAAAAAAAGAAGGCGAAAGGCAGAGAGAGATGCAACTTTCTTAAGACATGTCCAGGCAAAGAACGGACAGAGTTGAAGAGTTACAGCAGCGGAGAGAGTGAGTGGGTAAGCTGCGCCGGATCGCCGATCCCCTCCCTCTTCCTGGATTCCCCCGCCTCTCTCCCTCTCTTCTTCCCTCCCTCTTTCCCTGCGTCTTCTTTCTCACTCCGTCCGTCCCCCTCAGACCCTGCTCCCGGCAGCACCGCCTCCTCCCTTCTCACCGCTGAAGCGGAGCGCGGCGGCAGCAGCAGCAGGAGCGCGCACCCCTACACCGCCCGGGCTCTGCGCGAAGCCCCTGCCGCGCACCTGGGCGGCGGCCGGCCGGCCGCCCGACCCCCCCCACAGGTGAGGCGAGGCCCCCCTCCGGCCTCGGTCCCCTGCCGAGGCTACTCTCCGCGGCCGCCACCGGTTTGCGGCCCCGCTCTCTCTACCGCCGGCACTCGGCACGGCGAGACGCCGCTTCCTCTGCCGCACAGGTCCTCCTCGGCGGAGCACAGTCGCTAAAATAACGGGGTGACTCCAAGTAGGCTGAGCACGGCAATCCGCGCTCTCCCCCAGCTGCGTTAGCGCTTCAAGACCAGAACAGTTCTCTCCTCTCCCTCTTCTCTGCTGTCCTTTTAGGGTTTCCTTTTTTTTTTCCTTTTATTTCTTTTGTTTCTCATTTTTTTTTTCTTCTTTCTCTCCTCTTTCCCCTTTTTTCCTTTTTTTTTTCTTTACCCCTTTTATTTCCTTTTTTTTTTGTTTTTTTTTTTCTTTTCATTTTCCCTTTTTTCTTCTCCTTTTCTTCTCCCTCTCCTTCATTTTCTTTTTTCTTCCTTACCTTTTTCTTTTCCTCCAGGGAATGGATACAAAATATAGGGGAGCTATATCTTTCAAGGCACAGCAAAGGGTTTCTACATGGCCTGCTCCGCCCGCCCCCCCCCCCCCCCCCCCCAAAAAAAAAAAAGCAAAGTGGCAGCTCCTTCTCAAAAAATAGTAAATCATAACCAGGGAAGGCATATTTAAACTGGTTCTTTATTCAAACTAACCCCCAACAAATTGCTCCCCCTTGACAAAGACCAGGAGAGGTGTCACAGCTAAATGACCAGGGGTCAGCTAAAAGCAGGGCTGGGTAGGTCCTGAATGTGGGGGTTACAACATTTTGGGAAAGCTACAGAAACCATTTTAAAAGTTATTTATTTGAGAGAGATAGTGTAACACTAATTTTGTAAATCACTCCCAGATTCCCACAAGGTAAAGTATTAATTTGTAACATGATTTATACTTAAGGACCTTAAAGTCACGGCCTTCCTCCAGAAGTCAATTTGACTTCTGAAGACATTGGATCGTTATTTCCTATAAGATACACCACTAAAATCTATCAGCCATGTGAGCATGCAGTGTTCTCTGTTAAGAAGAGCAGATACAAGCTGCAGTATATAGATTCTAAGTACATTTCCAAACAGTGCATACAAGCCAATTCAGCCTGGGAATGATCACTTTGACTGAACCTGTATGGAAAGTTTAATGTCAAAATTTTCTGGCCTCATAGATTTCCACAACAGACACAGCTGATTGATTTACTTAGCATCTCAGAGTTACTTTTTGAAGACACTAAATGGAATTATACTAAGTACTTATCCAAATGCCACTGGGCCAAATGATCTTTCCTTCTGTGAACACAGCTTCAAAGTAGTCTTTATAAAGTAAACCACACTGAAAATAGCATTCCAGAAAAGAGCTAAAAGGGGAACACTTTAAAGGCATTATAGTTAAAGGCTATAAACAAGTGTAAACCACAGTTCTACGCAGTACAGTTGCAAATATTTCATAATTTTGGAGTATATAATTTGCTACCTTTCAGCTTCAAGGCCATATTATGGTTGATTGCTAAGTAACTAAAGGCCAGACCAGCAGATCGCTTAAACCTTTGTCTAAACTTTAATTCTCAGTGCTTGGAGAGGTACAGTGGTGGTCAATTGCAATAACCTCATGTACGAGGGTGGGAGCATCTCTCAAAAGTAGCTGGTAAAGATAACGAAAAAATCAGGGCTTTCTGGATTTCCTTCTATACACATGCTATGCTGACAGCAAGTACTTCAGATGAAGAAAAAAGGGATATGCCGTCACTTTCCAGTGGTGGGTAATGGTGCTTAGAACTTCAGATAAAGTGTTGGAGCCAAGATGTCCAGCCAAGTGTATTCATAAGTCTTCTTGATATATATAGTTTTACCTTCTAAACCAGGTTTCTAACATAATGAATAATATTGACAAAGTTACTCTGATAGTTACTGAATATTCCATGTTTATTTCATTTCTTCTCTGTCCTTTGATTTTTATTCTGGGACACAGTATCAATAATTGTTAAAATAATATGTTAAAATAATTGTTGACTGTCACATTTAAAGATTAATCTTCCCAGGGTATCTTTTTGATATCCTAAAGAAAATTCATGTATTCTGTTGCATTTTAACCTATAGGTAAGGTACAAAAGAGAATACTTGAAATCACACTTCAGTGCCTAGGGCACCATGCACTTCCCTGAAAGACTTCCAGTCTTAGAACCATTGTAACAAAATGTGTTTGGTGTTCCCTGTCATCTACTGACATGTCCTGGTCCTTATGAAACTGCCTAAACTGAAACGAGTTTTGGCTCAGCTGTCACTAAAAAAAGTAGTTCTCTGGATTAGACAGTTTAGTTTTGAGAGAAACATGGATCCTTCAAGTCTGGAATTATTTCCCAAAAACTGAAATAGAAATCTGGTATCAGACTACCAGCAAGCATTAATGTTAGAGAACTCTTGTCATAAAATAATAAAGACAACCAGAAATTATATTCTGACATAATAACAATCATCATTTCCCTGTGAGGCATTATGTCTCTCTAATGCGAGACGAATCTTCTCACTAATCTACCTCAAAACTAGCCTCATAGATCTCAACTCTTTTCCTCTGTATTTAACAAACAGGAGCTGATAGATCAACTGAGTAGGTCAATAGAGCGGAAGTAAATAATGAAGTCAAGTGTCCTCCAGAGAAATTTTCCTGCTGCCAGCCCCAGCAATACACAAATGCATATGGGGATTGATATCTCAAGTACTTTAGACGGACCTCTCAGCTCCCATTTTGGGGAAAAAATAAAAATAAAAAAAAATGAAAAGGTTAATTTCAAATTGTAGGGACTTCAGCTACAAAAAGCTTTCAAAGTTGAAATCGGCACTTTGAATTGGACTGGCTCAGAGATGGCAAAGGTGAGGATAATTATGGCTTGGTCTCTATGAGGATGAAACAGTGCAATTGCTACACCAAGTGCAGCTTCCAAAAAACACTTCTGAACACAATAGCAGCCAGTGACTCAGGGGCAATCAAGGGCCCATAAACACTGAACCTCTGTGGCAGAGGGCAAATGCATCTTCTCAGTAACGAGGTCAGGCGCAGTTTCAAGCAAGTTCTCCACCAGTTAAATATGAACTGATCTGATAGAGGTTTTAGAGTAAGAATAAAATTCTCTACAGTACAAAAAGCTAGCACAAAACCTGTGCCCTGTCTGAATCGTGGTTACACAGAGAGAAGGAGGTTGATAAGCAGAAGCTCTGCTCTGGCCATTCCACTCTTCCTCTCATGGCCCCAGTGTTTCAAGAAGAACTCCCCAGCATGTCAAATAGTTGTAGCCTTTGTAATGCAAAAAACCCCACCCAAACCAATTCCTGAAAACCTGATAATCATCCTCTCCCCAGCCTGTAGCCATGGATGTATACTCATTTACCACTATATTGTTTCCTCTTTTGTAAATGCAGACCTGGGGAGTAAAAAACAATTCTGCCTTTCTGGATGTTCTTGCCTACTCTCTGCAAACTTGGATTGAACCACAGCTCTCCGCTTCTCTCTTCCCCTGCCCCCTTTTTTTAGAGGGGAAAAGGTGGCAATTTGTATGAGAAACATATTTGAGAGAGTGCTGGCATTTTTCTACCTAAACCAAACTGCTGTAAACCCCCTGAAAATCTTTAGAATTGCCTTTGCATGTCTTTCTTCATCTGACAGAATTTGAGCAAGAATATTTAACTTTTTATAGTTTAATTATTTTTATTGACTTCTTTTTACCCTAGAGAATTCTTAATGCGTAAAATATCACCAACTATTTGATTGGGTACCCTTTCACAGTGTTCTTCAAGACTTTCAAGGCAGCAGTGTCAAAATAATAGTCATATATCAGCATTGGTATAATAAAATGCTAAACAATCTCAGTTTCTTGACAATCCATTGTGCACCCTGTGAACCTACAGAGGAGTTTACTGAGGTGACTGAATCATTAAACCTACAAGCTACAGCTATTTGTAGATATGTGTTAAATACACATATATGTAACAGTAAGGAAAACCTGCAGCAATTCTACAGAGGAGAAAAAAGGAAACACA